TAGGCTTTAACGGCCCAGGTTTGACTCCAGAGCGGGCGCGGCGCATGCTCTGCGGCAGCATTCCTGTAACTTGTATGTTAAAAGTTAGGCTTCACCAAGATCACAGATCCACAAATCGCATCAATTAAACTGTATCTCTCAGTCTCGCTCTTCTCCATCCCCAGCGCAGACAGAAGGCGTCGGTCCGCCGCCTCCGTGCACTGGGGAAAATAATGGCTCGGTCCGCTCTCTCTCCTGCTTTCGCAGGGCCGAATTGGGGGCGAGCCCCCGTGTGGAGCGCCTCTGTCCAGGGTCTGCTCCGTCTCTCGCTTTGCTTTGCTTTACTGGAGGCTTAGGCAGTTAGGCCAACAGTCAACTTGAAGTGCGCGTTCGCGCCACCCCATCCTTCATTTTGATCGATCGAGGGATGGGCTCGCCTTTACAAGCGGTAGAGGAGCGCGGTCCTTCTCCCTGTGCTAGGTTGGTACAGCACTGCCGTTCCCCCGCATGAGATCAGAAACATCACCGAGTCGACAGTACTGTACCAACTTAGCCCAACTCGCTTGGTCGCTTGGCCTCGGTTTGGCAGTCTCTCTCTTTCTCTCTTGTCTTTCTCGGTTTCACTCCCTCTCACTGCCCGCTCGATCTGTTGTCGTGTCCGGGCTACTCTTCGTGCCCTTCGACTGCGGCAGGTTCTCATCTGCGAGGGCCTGCGATCTTAAACTAGTCGTAGGAGATGGGCTTCACGGTTGAGGGTTCGCGTTTTGCCTTGTTCGCGTCCTTTAATCCTTGAAGGCATTGCTTTGGGTGACTTGTGGAAAGCCTACCAACTCTACCTTGTCCACTGTCTAGAACAGCACCAACATGTCGGCTCCAAAGTATCAAGTTCAACTGCTAAGTTCGCCTTACAACATCGATCGCGTGCTGCGTAGGACAGCGAAACAAGTGCGAACCAATTCATCTGATTTTTGACTCAACATGACTCACCTCTCCGGGCTCACATGGAACAAGTTTACATTGCTTGCATCCCGAGGAACTTAACCGCATCCTCATCAATCAGCTAGCAGCTAGCAAAAACTTCGCAAAAACAATATGAAACATCCTTTTAGTTTGAATCCCTGTACCAGAAGCCCTTTTTCACACTCGACTGCTGCACTAGAAACCCTCAGCCCCAAAAATCTAAACTTCAAATGGCTCCAATTGTTTGACTGCCTCCCCAGCTGCGCTATCAGAGGGGAGGCTGCCCAGGTATCCTTGGTGCTACTCTGTAGGAGGTGACGCAATTCGAGAAGCCCAAGTGTAATATCACACGCACACACACAGATATATATATATATTCACTCCAAAAACTGATGTGTATCATCATAGACATAGAGAGAGAGAGAGAGAGCCAGAAACTATATCCCCGCCTGCAGGCCCCAGCAGGAGTAGGGTAGTTGCTGATTCCTGCTCATTCTACGCCTAGGGGATAAGCAATTGGGCTGCAGGGAAGCTTTTTTGCCAAGCTCCACATCCGAAAAAAGGGATCCTGCTCTTGAAGGGGCTAGATTCGGCCCTGAGGTTTTGTCCACAGCTCCAGCGCAGCTGCGACAGCAAGGGCCAGGCACTTTGATGATGCCGGAAACATAAGAAAGTGGACTTTTGCTGATTCCACATTTTTTTCCGACCATATCATCCGGCGACGATCGCTGAGAATAAGATTTCGGCTTGCAGGTCGTGAACTTATCAATCACAAGTCCGTTATCACCGCAGCTCTAAACTCTGATGAACCAGTTAAGTACCCAGCTCTCGAGGGTTCATGCGTTCTAGTTATAGTTTGCTAGTAGGAGCCAAGCAACTCAAGAGGTATGTGTTGCTGTCGAAGATCTTGGCCATCGCAGCCTTGTGAGATTTGCGGTGTTGCTTCGGGTGTCTCTTCGGGGAACCGTGACTCCCCAACCGTTACTGAGGGGCTCGGCTACAGCACCAAAGACAGACCTTCAAAGGTTTCTGGCAATCTAGTCAAGATTTGCCGTTTTGTGTGCGGCTTGCGCCCATCGATCCGTAGTCGGAACTTGGAAGTAGGGTTGTGACGAGTCTGCAGGATAAATGGCTCGGGAAACCAGAGAGAATGAAGCAAGTTTGGTTTCTGCCTGCAACACAGGTGCGTGTCTCTGCGACAGCTCGACCAGCAGCTGAAGACACAGTGCAGCAACGTCCGACCGAGATGCAGCCACCTCATAGCGGTACTGCAGCACGGCCTACGATTTCACGTTTACTTTAAATTCCTACATGTGCATGCTTTGCTTATCTCAGCTGGTTGCTGTGATCACGACTGCATGCACCGGCCAGTTGCGGAGCATTTCAACGATAGCATGCTGTAATTTGTGGCACACTCTGACGCAGCCGTCACAGAAGCATTGCACCCGAAACCAGATGTAACTCGCCATCAGTCTCTGCTGCAACCCACTTTAATTTATCGAGCCCAAGAGCGCACAATGCAATACCTCTTCCAAGATCTTGTCAACGTAAGTATAGGGTAAGTAGGGGCTGCATACCATGCCTGCATGGCCCTGTCGACATCTTTACAGTCCTTACTACATGAGAAATAGGTGAATCTGGAGAAGCCAGGGTCTTCTGTCAAAACTGCTCACCACACGGTTTCTTTGGACCTGCGCGGAGGATGTGGCGGGATCTGGCTCTTCTCACTCATTTCTCCGAACGGCAACTCTGCAAACAAACCTGCTCCGACAAACCCGGTGTGAGCCAGAGGCTGCTCTATATATTATTTTTTTTGCGTAGCAATTGGATGCTGCGCACACGCACACACTAAGTAGTATGTGTTGGTCGCACAAGGGGCTGCATCCAGTGTCGAGCCGGTTCGCGCAGTGGTGCGGCCAGCCGTCATCCTCCGTATGCGAGGAACCCGAAAACCTGAAGCCCAGCCCCCAGTTTTCCCTCCTGTCATGTGCGGAAGTCGCCCGAGAGGCATAAGACGATTCGTAGATCTGAACCAGTTGGCAAGACTCCCAGACTGAGAGCGGCCAAACTCTACGGTTGCTACTGCTACTTACCACCACCACCACTACTAGTAGCACTAGTACCAGCATGCACCACATACTACCCCTAAACTCCAAAGCCAATCCAGACCCTAAGTCCTTTCAGCAACAGATTTCGCGAATGCGTGCGCAAGACACATGACGACACACGACGACATTAGATTCGAAACACCACACTTTCAGCCCTCCAGTGTGCCCGGAGAAATCCAAGGAGCTCGAGCAAGGTCTGGAAGTGCAGGTCGATGACGGAAGAGATCCAAAGCATGTGAAACTGGTAGTGCCTTGGAATGAGTATCATTGATGTCTTTTCGTTTTCAGTATTGTCATTTTTCTATCATTAGCCGTCTTGTCAACAACTAGTATTAATACTCTTGCGATTAGCATAGTTTGTATTTCCATAGTTGGAGATAATGAGCTCAAGACTATGATTACTAGCATTATGTTCTTCAATCTCGTTGTTTTTGTTAGTGTTACTATCCATAGTTCCACTACGACGACGACTACTGACCACTCCTACTCCTACCCCTACTCCTGCTGCTGCTGCTTCTATTGCTACCGGCTAGTGTTACTTGCTATTGGCTACGGCTACCGCTACCCCTACTGCTGCTGCTACTACTGCTGCTGCTGCTACTACTACGACGACGACGAGTATTCTTCTGGTTCTTCTAGTTTATGAGTACTAATATTATTGGTGTTCGTCGTCGTCGCAGTAGTAGCATCGCCCCCAAACCCCCAATATAAAGAGCCTTAACAGCAATTAGAATAAGGCTTCGGTTAAACGTATACCTACAAAAGAGACTTACAGAATCGTATTGAAAACATCCAAGCCCCGACATGCTGCCCTATGCCACTGAAGCTGACAAACTCGGGACGACGAGTCTTTTGTTCGAAGTCTGCCAGACCGGCCTCACGATTCGTGCGTCGTTTCCAATGCTGAAGCCTCTGAGGACAGGAGCCGAAACTTTTCTTCTCAACGTCATGTTCAACTTCCTTCCTCTTGATCCGTTTTTTAGGACTATCTGAATCCTAAATCCTCCAAAAGCTCTATAAGCCCTAACTAAACCCTTACTAAGACCGAAACTTCCTAAATGTGCTGATCAGGAGCGGCGTTCCGGTTTGCGGCTTCAGCCTCGCAAAGGCAGGGCAACTGCCGTTAAATTGCGTGCACAGGCTTTTGATTAAAAAAAGCAGAGGTTTTATGGTTTTTGTTTAAACTTATGTTTTTTCAACAACCTAGACCCTACTTGGGATGCTGAAGACCACGCTCACCGAGTACTCCAAAGAGCACTGTGATGTCACTGATAGTCTGAAAGAATGCAGAACCCAAGCCTGTGAGACTGTCACTGATCAAAAAGGACACTTTGACGGACCAACTGAAGTGTTGGCATGAAAAACTGCCACCCGGCTCGCAAGTCAAGTGGCTCCAAGCTGAGAAACCTTGGCTGGCGTGTTGCTTTTCGGGTCTCGGATTTACCGTACTACCTCCCTGCACCCACGTTTGGCCGTGAAAATGAGATCACCCTGAGATCACATACCCCTCAACTCTCAACGATGGAGCACGAGCCACAGAAGCCTCAAGAGACCGACTGACACAGCTCTCAGAATGTGGCGTATTACCTGACTTGACTATCCTGATGTACCTCGGACAGCTATATTTTCACCGAGGCACGCGGAACTAATCATGTGTAGCCCGCCCATGCGCAAAGGTCAAGCCTTCGCACTGCAGGACAAACAGGCTGCTTGCTGTAGCTTCTACAGCATCCTGCCGCCACTTTGGCGCACCTGCATTAAACGGACGGATTACCCATATTCGACCAAGTCAAGATCTTGTGGACTTGATCGGCTTCGCATCTGTACATGTCTGAAACGGACTCCGCCATTCCGCAGAAGTCGGCATACAGACGTTGGAAGACAAGACTATGGGAAACCGAATTGAAGCTCAGTAGGCAAAGCTTTCTGAGCGAATTGCTGAGGAAGAGAAACCTGCGGCAGTCCACGCATCTCTGGCGGCAGACTCAAAACCTGCTGGGCCACAGACGAAGGCTTCGATGTTCTCGGAGACTTGCATGGCCTCTGCTGGCATGAGATCTGTCAATAGCTTCGTCGAAAGCCTGCCAGCTTCAACCAGGACGGAGCTGATGGAGTTCTGCTTCAGCATCATCTCCAGCTTCTGCTTCTCCTTCGCTGCATCGGTTCCGGTCAGCAGGATTACGGCTCGATAAGTGACGCTCAACTGCGCGAGGCTCGTGCCAGCCTCTGCCAGCCTCTCGAAGAAAGCCAGCTCTGAGATCGCACGGACCGAAGAGAAGATGGTAAGAGTCTCCGGCCGAGGGGCCGATTCTACAAGTGCACTGAGAGCCGCAAGTGCAGGGGTAGAGCCAATCCCAGCCGTCAGGAAAACGGAGTGCCGCGGCATGGAGACCTGGCTGCGCAGCTCCCCGCTGCTGGGGTCAAGCTGTGGGCCAAATTCACCTGAGAAGCCAAGAAAATGGATGTTGGCACTCTTCATTTCCTCGCGACTGAGCTGGTGGAGCCAAGTCGACGCCAGGCCACCATGCTTCAGCTTCACCGAGATCTGGAAGCGCGCATGGTCTGCGAACCACTGAGGAGAAGAGGTTACTGTCCAGGTTCGTTCCGGGGGCGAAGCTTCCTTTCCCTGTAGGTCTGGAAGTGCCAGCCGGACATGTTGCCCTGGCTTCAAGACGATGGAGCCTGCCTTCGGAAGCGGTGCCAGTTGCAACTCAAAGGTCCGAACATCCTGGGACTCTTGGCGCACCCACTGGAGAACAGCCAGGTACTCTGGCCCCGATCCCTGCGGACGTGGATTGTATGGGCTCAGCTCGACCTTCTCGTAGACGTGGGGGCTGTACCGCGGGATAGAGCGGAGACCCTGGACAGCCAGGACCACCAGTCTCAAGGCCTGTGGTTCCTCCTCCAAGACTTTGAGCATGTCCGCATCCGTGACCTCGGACCTCTCAATCGTTCGAACACTTCCTGCAACTTGCACACCGTGACCAGTGCCATCCCAGTCCACGAAGACGAGGCTGGCATTTTTCTGCAACTGCACGTTGCCCAGGCTCATGTAGAAACCGTTTCCTGTGTAGTCCGGCCAGCAAATCGTGCTTCCACCGTGCAAGACGCGCACAAAGCCTGGGGAGCCACCGCGAATGTTCATGTCCGCTCCATGTTCTGCCGTGCCTGTCCCGAAGTACATGTTATCCGCGCTTGTGATGACGGATTGCTCTAAGGCGCCAATTTTGGACGCTTCTATCGCCGGCTCGGTCACAAACTCCAGGTTTTGGCCCATACGCTGCACTCGACGCCTTGTGATGTACTTGGGACAGTTTCCGAAGGCCTGGGTGATCCGGATCGAGAAGTGCCCATGTTGGTCAACGTGGTTGATGACACCGTTGAAGCGATTCCGACGTCGCGTCATGAAGTCGATGGCAACCGCTCCGACCATGATCCCGGGCTTCATCATACCCGCAACTGCTGCAGCATCGCGAGGGTCAAGAGCAGCATCAACATCGATCTGAGTTCCGTCTGAAGTCTCGCAGTCAGCAAAGCCGGGGTGCGCAAAGACTAGGGAGGACCAGCTAGCGTTTGAATTTGGGTCGAAGAAGCTGACCATGAAATGAGGCTGCGGGCCGACCATGTCCCTGTAGGACTCAGGAATGACTTTGTGATAGATGCGTGGCCCCATCTCATCGGAAGTGTGGACGGTGCCTTGCTTCCTCTGCAGCATTCGTTCGCCAGCATGCCAGGGTTGCTCAAGCTTCATCAAGCCAAGCTCTCCTGGAAGTCCCATCGATCGCGCTAGGTCGCTAGGTGCCGGCCCGGCCTGGATCACTGCGACGACTTATCTTAGAATGCTTGAGCCGCAAGGTGATGATGCATATGTTCCAGAGTTAACAGTCTTCTTTGCAGGCTCGCGGCCACAGCAGCGCGGGTAGTAAAGGCGAGCCGATGGAGGCCACCACAAGCTGAATGGAGTGCACCGGCACCTATAGCGAGGCCATCTCCGGGATACATGTTTGAGGTTTCAGGGTCCCGAAGCAAGATTTGGGCTACTGCAGGGTACCAAGCTCGCGCGTTTGATCCGTCACCGGGCTGGCGTGCTCTGATAAGCACGGAAAGCGAAACCTTTAATTAAATCTTCTGCTATCCCCCCCCCCCGCAAGCTTTCTATCCTACATATATATATATACACACACACACACACATACACACACACACACACGCGCATGTATCTATTTGCTTATATCCTCTTAAGCCTTAAGTCATCACAATTCATTGCAAGTTGTCAATGCGGCCATGGCCAACGAAGTGATCCTGTGTGGCATAAGCTAAGCGGATGGCAAAGCGCCTAGTCCCCTACGCACACGTGCGCCTTTTGTGCACAGCCTAAACCCTGAAGCCTAAACCCAGTGTTTGCGGAACTGCCTTCTCATAGACCTTTCTCAGCAAGCCGTAATCGTTGAGAGCGAGGGCCAGGATCATGGCTCGGGCGATGTCGCCGTCATCAAGAGCCTGCATGTTTCCCATATATATATATACACACACACACGTATACATATGTATATGTGTCTGTTTGTGTGTGTAGGCATGTGTTCATTCATGTTTATCTTTAGACATATTCCTACTTTACTCCAAATAAACAAATAGATAAATAAATAAATACATAAATGAATACATATATATATATATTGATTGATTTAATACAAAGATGTAGGAGTAGGGTGGTTGCAGTTTCACGGGCGAGTTTAGTAGGTTCCCAGGGCAACACCAGCTACGGTGGCGGAGGGACAACATAAGTAACATTCAACCGGTGAGTGTGCTTGCTGGCTTCGCAAAACCCAGCAGGACCTAGCACCAGGCCGGACACAACCGCAATCCACACACACGCACACACAAAACATGAATCAACAGCTACCAAGAGAGTGGACAACGCCGCAACAAGCAGCTCTTGGACCGCGCAGAGTGGTAAACAGTAGCAGCACTTATTTCCCCTCTTTACGACCCCAAGTTTCCGTCGTGATGACTTCTACTGGAATGCAAATCGATTTCCCAATGCCGTTGTCGGCCTTTCTACATCCGAGGCCGGGCCCTCAATCCCAGATGCCTTCAGCACTGCTGGCGCCGACACGGCTTTGGTCAGCATCTGCGGAACGAACCGGCTCGTCTCGGACCCGTAGATTCCAGAGATGCCCGCCGTGCCCATCCCCGCATCCTGGATTCAAACAGTTCAACTTCAGGTTGATGGCTTTCGGTGTTTCGGAGTCTCGGATCTGTCACGCTGAGGTTGAGCGTTGCGTTTGAACTCACCTTTCGAGGACTAGGTTACTACAGATGTCGAATCTGAATAGTTAGTAATAGTGAATTTCCCTGTTTTGCCCCGACATAGTGATACCATATTTACACTGGCACCATATTCCACTTACTAAGGCTCCTGTATCTGCTTGATAATTGACGATACGGCGAGGATTGGATTCGTTCGGGATTGGACACACCTAAGAAGGTGCAAGCTGACAGAGGGGTTTGGGATCGCCGATACTTGGGCTTTTTTTTCCCTCTCGCATGGCTGAGGAACTGCTGAGGATCTATGCCCACTAGCGAGGTCGGATTGGGAGGACCAATGTTGGGCTTTAGGCCTTGAGGTTCAGGGATTCGCCCAACTTTCAGGTCTTCCGTTCATCGCAGTCCTTAAGATGCCGTCTCTGCCGAGGCTAAGCTATGTGGTTGTACTGATGCACGACATTCTGCCCTACTACATTACAGCAAAACCTCAAACTACAACTGTGCACAAAATGTCGTACTTTGTTACTCCGTACGCGGAAGAACGTTCAGGCCTAGGGTGTGCAGTGTAGGATCTTGGCGTTTGAAGCCCTTGTCGGCACTTGTCGAGCGGAAAAGGCTGTCAGCTAGGGGCTTGGGAAGGGAGTTCGGCGTCCAAGGGTGCACTGGTTCACTGACACCTGGAGAGGGTGAGGGATCAAAAAAAAATTAAATTAGGATCAAAAAAAATTAAACCACAAAGGTCAAAAAAAATTAACGCAGTAGGAATGCAACAAAGCTTGGGAACAATCTAGGGTTACGGATCAAAAAAAATTAAATCAGGATCAAAAAAAATTAAACGGGGATCAGTAATAGTCGTAGTAGTACTGTAGTAGCAGTCCAAGTAGTAGTGGTAGTGGTGGTAGTAGTAGTAGTAGTAGCAGTAGCAGTGAAGTCCGCAGCGCAAGGAGGGGAAGAGCCAAAAGCGCTGCCAGCTTTAGGGTTTATAGGGTTCCGTTAAGGGTTCCTAGAGGGCTTCTATTCGAATTTTGTAGGTCACCGTTTTTTCGGTTATTTTAACCGTTTTTATTGGTATTTTTTTCTGTTCTGCTTGG